CCGTGGACTCGTGATTATTTGAAAGAAATGTTAAATGCTGGAGAATGCTAAATTCCCAATTCTTGATTGTGTTCATGCAAAGTGGGAATAATTCACCAGTTCAATTTCCTCGGCCTCGTGTCCACTACTGTGTTTGAGAGAAAATGAGGGGGGTGAATAGTAAAAGTAACCAGTTTACTGCTTTAATCAAGAGGAAAGAGAGGTTGTACGTTTCCATTCTCGCTGCAGCCACGTTAAGCTGGAGTTAACAATAAATAAGATGGTTATGGTGTGACGCCGAGGAATTTCTCTTCAGCAGCAGTGTCGACAATGACTTGCTGCACGTTTTACGATTACGTGGAACATGCTCAGGGCTCATTACCAAGGCTGAGAGAGGAACCAAAAAGTATTAGAAATGGCATTTATTTTCTTTGCTTGCACAGTTCTGTTGGTCATCCGATGACTTTGCACTCTGGAGAGAGAGGCCGAGCCGCCGAGTTAGCAGAACATGCAACGAGGAACAAAATGAGCTTTTCCAAACACAGACAAGACAAATTAAGTCGAGGAATGGAATGTCGGACGCTGTTGATTCATGTAATTTTGGTTACATGCATGCATGCAAAGGAAAGCGAGAAAGAAACTTGGCCCAAAATATGCACTCGACTGCAGCCTCGGAAAGGAATCTATATACATAAGTAAACACGTATTTGTTTTGGATAATCTTGTGTCAAACCATTCAGCCAGCAGCAACCAATCAATGGATAAACTGATAAAATGACAAATTCTACGAAACGTTCGCTTAATTTTCAAAACAGAGGCACTAAATTATATTCCAGACCCAAAATAGAAAGTATCTAGTTGGCTGCAAAGTGGCAGTAAGTAAGGCAAACAAAGGACACTGTTAGAAACAAAACAACAAGACCTGCCTCAAATGCTGCTCGTAAAGAGACAAAAGCTGTCTATTGACCCAGCAAAGCTATTGACTGCCTACCCAGAAATTATGAACTCAATCTCCACCAGAGACTCCCCGAAGGAAGCCCCACTGCACTAGACCGATGTAGCACAACTGTTTAGCTGATGGTTGACTCTCAGCCCCTTACAGAGAACACAATGGGCACAAAAAGGACACATCGGCCGGGGCGTGTCAACCTGTCCAGATTTATTTAAAATTCTCCTTTGTATGGGACTCAAGTGCTGCTTTGTGTTCAGCTCGTCGTTGTAAACTGATCATCCAAGAAGAAAACTATATACACATTTCGGAGGAGGAGGACGACAACTACGACAACTACGTACACTTTGTCCGCGAGTGTTCTTGTTATGTGTGCCTTCTTCATATATCTTTCCCAAGAACTGGCTCCTTACACCGTCTTGTCGATGACCTAACCGTTCAAATAATTCTTTTGTTGCTAACAAAGTATTATCTGAAACTAGTGTTGTGGGAGGGAAACTCGGGAGAACAACCGTCCGTCCAACTTTCGTGGGTGTGTTGGAAATGTTATTCTAAATTCCAGTTAAAAACAGAAAATGCGTGTCAAGTCATGAGAGTTCAGTCGAAATGGAAATACAAAGAAGGAAAAACGGGTGGATGAGTGAGGGTAAAACATAAATAGGTTTCGCAATTACTATTTAGTTGGAATAGTACGTGATGATTGATGAATATGGACGAGAAAGAAAGGACGATCCAGTTACCCTTGGACCTCAGATAATTTCTCCGTATACGAAGAGAAAATTTTTGAAGGACATGTAAATATGTCACTCATTACTTTACTTAAAAAAGAATATAAAAAATACACGTGTGTAAACGGGACGTTGAGCGATATGGATAAAGAAGAAAATAAAATTAAGTAGACACAACGACGTCACCAGAATCATGGAAATTACACAGAAGCGTCCTGTTATTATGACTTTGAAGTTACATGTACATGATTGCAAAAATGTGCATTTTTCATTTCTCGATACATCAAAGCCAGCAAAATGAATTTGTTGACAAGTTTATGAATGACAGATTGACAAGTTATTTTTCAGCTTTGTTTTGGACACAGCAACCACCACGGCTACGTATATATATTCTTTGCGTATTTGTATGTATTAGTTTAGATAGAAATGGCACGATGGTGATGATCTCATCTGACAAAGTACTACCAAAGACTATTATTATTCTGACCTATGTATACCATTTCAAGGAAACGTAATATATCGGATCCAATTTTCTGCTCTACTGCCGCACCAAGTGGTTGTTGTGAATAGGTCTAAAAGGTTTCTCAACTTGACATGACTCAAAATGCTGCCAACAATAAGGTTGCTGTCAAAGGCCAAGAGTACGAAGCTCCAGACGTATGTTCTACAGATGCACATATTTACTTACATAGGTCGACACGAGGTGATGACTATTTTCAATTAACGTGTGACAACCAGACCAGAACAATGGCATCACAACGTTTCACTAATGCGACATTATTGATGGATACATTTCATGAATTTTAGGGTACTACGTACATACGTAAGATGAACACTCAATTTAACACCTATTACATGTACGAGGTACATCTATGATATCATATTACTGTGTTGTGTGGATCGCATATCATCACATACTCGATATGATATTACTTATCAATATTGTTACTGCACAGTGTTTAGTAAACACAGTTGTGCAACCGGCAATTGCATTTAAAATATTTTACAGCATTTCATGGATGGTCATTCCCTCGAGCAGCATGACTGTGTTTGCATACATACATATTTGTTTTTGCAAGCCTGATGATGATGAAACATCCGTGGGTAGTGGTGGCTTTGAGGCTGGATAATAATAATTCGAGAGGAACTATCTCAATCTCGACTTGTTTGGATGCGATGTGTGGTTGTGTTCAATCAAACAGACGACTCGATTATTTAATTACTTTTTGAACATGATATTGACAACTGATATGATATGTTTGTTTTTCTCCATTGATTCAATTGAGACCATTTGGGTCAATGAACAGCATTATGTAGCATTTATAGCACCATGTACGGAGTTCATCTCTCGAATCGTAACTATTTTTAGCCGATGACTAACAAAATATTGAAACATTTATTTGTTGCATGTCTGTACCGGGTCTCAGCATCAGTCTTCCCCTTGTTTCTTACGCAAACAAAATAATTTCAATTTTTTACGAAATAATCTAAAAGTTATTAGTTTATCAGGCATTTGATGTATCCAGGTTGGTTGACTGGAGATATCTCACTGCTGGGTGTGAGTGATGTGCCGAAGCAGTGGAAAATTTACAAGCGTGATTTATACCAGAAAAATCCGACCTGAACTCATTAGTTATCTTAATCAATGGTATCAGGCAACACAAAAGTTGTAAATAAGTCAAGTCAGAGTATATGTAATGATGTGAATGTGATGCTGGACATGTGGTCGACTCGAGTGGAGAGAGAGGTCAATCATTGGACATACGACGACCACCACAATTCTCGGCAATGGGTCAAACTCTTTCATGATGAAATCATTTATAATTTACCAATTTCTGTTGATTAACGAACCAAACCAGTCTGACATCCGTATTTAAAGAACAACTTGACTAAGTGACAGTCATAAAAAGTATTAATAGCTCAAAGGTCTCGAGAAATAATATACAGATATTTACATAAATGGAAATTTGATTCAGTGCAAATTATTAAATAAATGTCAAAGGTTGGATCAATTATTTTTGTGACACTGGGAAGAATGACATTAATAATATATTCTTCATCAAACGAAAGTCTATGCATTTATCTCTCTTCTAGCCAACAACTTTATCGTCTACGACCCTCCACGATAGTGCATGGATAAATAAATATGTAGCACTGCCTTTTTCGCAAGGAATATATGAAATGGAATATTGTTCTAATTCTCTATTTATGCATTCCGGCTCTATTAATATTTATTGCTTTGAATTGGAATGATAAACCATAATTGGAATGGACAAACAATAGACGGCACGACTGGCTGCACCATTCTGAACACTGATAATACTATGAGTAGTGAATACACCATTGCGTTCCTACAATTTATCCGCACTTTGCTTTCAGGGTTGACATCAACACTGGTGCTATCTTAATCGTCAATATTCTATGGAGGAACCCAGGGAGTTGATAAAGCATGAAAGGGGATGTTTTGCAATCCAATCAAAAGCCTAACGTGGTCGTAAATAAGTCATTTATTTTTTACGCAAACTTTACTTGGCAATTTTGTTTGTGTGTGTGTATGAGAAACACGATTTAAAGACGGGGATCAATAATGTGCAATCTCGTGTCTTTCATAATAAGTCATAAAGTTGTAAAGTCACATAATTTATACAACGATAGATCAGGCGACATTTCCAATTACCATTTCATACCCTTTTTAGTGTAGATTGTCCATAGTGCATCGTATATATCGCAGTATTCGAATTTTTGACCAATTTCAACAATATATTTCTTTGTGGGTGCAACAGCCAACCTTAAATTTTTGTACAGACTTTTGCCAGTTTGCCGAGAAATGTTTTCAATTTAAATACTCGTTGACGTGTCTGGAGTGATCTCAAGAATCTAGCACTACTTACTAGCCATGGAGTCAACCAGTATTTTTGGGCTAATAGTTAATTATTTTATATCTAACGAAACTGTGAGTACAGCAAAACTGAAAGGCTTGACATTGTTAGTGGAAAATTCGGTTGCAGAAAAAAATCGGTCGGGTGCATGTCTCCAAAAAAAGTCTCAACGCGTAAAAAAGTCTAACAATCTTGGAGAGCGAATAATATATCGACCAATTTCAGATCAAATGTAGGACAACAATTTCCGTTAGATTACCTTCGTCAATTTGTAATACGATTTTTGCTCTTTTCAGGACAAAGAATGTTAAATACATTTTGCGAGGTTTTCGGCAAAAGAATTGGAGAATTTGTATTTTATATATAATAATGAGATGTGCAATGTGTATGAAAAGCTCTACAGACGTATGTGCTTAAGAACATACGTCCAAATTGGCGTAGAACGAGATGAGACGACTTGCTTACCGTATTTTCCGCAACCTCAAAAGTAATAAATATGAAAAATTCCACTGGGTTCTTCTTAGTCACCATTCCAATTTGCGAGGATTTGTTCCACATTCAATTCATAAGCTTCTTATTCTTCCTTCCTTTGTGTCGTAAAGAATCTGGAAAAGAAATCACAACATTTTTTATATAAGTCAATCCGGGAATGATTGCGGCTCAATTTTTTACCCCAGTTATATTATCATGGTAAACCTTGAAATCGCATGTCTGAAAGTCACTCCAAGATCAAGCCCACGATTTCAGGAGGAACCAAGCAGAAAAACGATCCCTCAAGACTCGAAACTCTTTCCTCTCTTTCTCTCAAGTGCAGTGAGAGCAATAATAATTTGTTACTTTATTTTATATATGATTGCCAGCCGCAGATTCGCATCTTCCTCCTTCAAGAACCTAACCTAACCTTTTTCCCAGCGTCATGAACAATCACTATTTCGCAACCTATATTTTACAACCGGTTCGAAACAGGGCTCATGGAATCGTCATGTCCATTAATTGTGTCTGTCTGTCTGTCGGCTAGCTATACTACATATTTTCGCCACAAAAACTAAAATTACAAACCTCTGTTGCCCATACACTGGTAACTGGTAACTGTCATAATCGTTTGGTATTTTTTTGAACCAGCATTTTCATAGACAGCAAAGAGCAAATATGTTATATTAATATTCAATTCGAACCAACTATTACACTCTGACTCGGGCAAAGTTAAGTAGTGCTGATAGGTTTTACATTATTTCATCCGTTCAGGAAGGGAAATGAGCTTGCGAAACGACTCGCTCACTTGGAAGCCGAGTGTGCATTATTTATTACGCCATCTATAAATCTCGAACCATCACCACTCTCAACATTTTTGGAGGTGAACCCACCCGAGCAAATTCCTCAAAAGCCAAAGATCATTTTTTAACGTTACTTTTGTTATGCAATCCCATTTCGCGGATAAGGTGCTTGAGTTGGGAAATAAACAATAAAATGGGAACGAGTCGACATGAGGCGAGGTTTCATGGTGGGGAATGAATTAAACGGCATGTTTTTATAGGGGCAAATTTTAATTTTATTGTATTGATGAGCTGACTCCGAGTTGTCTTACTTAATAAAACGAGGAAGAAAAAAGGCTGTAAATTTTTAATGAAGGCTGCAAAATGGATAAGACAAGTGGAGCAGGGGAGGAGCTCGTACGCCACAGTCGGCATACGTAACTTACGTACATACACATTAGTAAAATAGAGTAAAATAAGAACTGCTGGATGGAACTGGATGGAGAGGAAGTGAGGCCTTCATTCCTGGGCTGGCTGGGAGGAGGAAGGAGAAAGAAAATGCCAAAAGCCGGCAGCTTACTTGACGTGCAGCTCTGGAGAAAAGTGAAGCTTTCCCAAGGTCACTTTCCCACTCGGAAATTAAATGCTAAACCAAGAATAATATAACGGGTTGCAAAATTGGTCGCATAATAGCATAATGAGAAATGTAAATTGCAACAATAATATGCAAAATGTGGTCAACTGTACGTTCGTAGGCGTGAGATAGTTACATATATATGACAACTTATTTATGTATGCACTCACAATTGCGATTCCTTCTGCTTTCTTTCTGACGGCACGAAATCTTAATAAGCAGCAAAGAAAAACTATCACTTATTCACGGAACAGTAAGTTTTTTTTATCACCCCAGTGTATTAAACAAGTCCACGCTTTAACAAAACTTTTCATACGTACATAAATATCTCTCTTAATATCTAGATTAGTATGAAAATTCAGGTTCACTTTGTATAATTTTTTCACAAGCGAAATATTTGTACAAACTTTTATATTTTTTTTTACAGATAAATATGTCTACTATGTTTGTGTCAGGTTCACACAATAATAACTCTGCAGGACTTTTAAGAATCTCATGTCAAGGATATGATACAGAATATTGCCGGCGATCACATGAAGCGTGTCTCTCGTATCGTTCAGCACAAAGAGCGTGAACCACTTTCACTGCGTTGTTGTACTATCCGGGAAGGAAAGTAAAATGCTGGGAGGATGACAATTAAAGACTGGGTGAAAAGTGAACTGGAAGAGGCGAGGGAACGAACAATAAGAGATGAACTTTTATGTCGTGGATGACAATAAACCATATAAACCGTGTAAAGAGAAGGTCGACGTGCTCCCTATCCAAGCTCTGAATATGAACTGACTGAGAGAACTGGGAGAACTCTCATAAGAGCCATGCAGAACTCTTCTGTTGGCAGGTTGCGTTCAGGAAAACCGGACCTGAGGCATAAAGCAAAGCATGAACATCTTTCTCTCTCAATCGAATCGCTTCAACAAACTTCAAAGTATGTACAGACCAGCAGACTGTTTCCCATTTTGCTTATACACTTGCTTCGCTTTATTCAACCAAACCAACCAAATTCCTTCGCAACCCTTTTCAAGCATGAAACACGACCAACGACGTCGACGACGACGATGGTGATGACGACCATTACGCTGATGAAACTCATTTTGTTCGTCTATAAGAGAAACTCTTTAAGGATGCATGTCTTCCGTGCAACTGGTACTTTTACTTTGCTCTCTGACCGACCGGCGTTTTTCTCCATCTCGGTCCTCCCGAGAAACTATGTTCCTCCATATCGGATGGGAACGACTGTGTGGAACATTTCCCCTCCTTCCACGCCTTGGTTTTCTTCTTCTTTGAGGAGGAGGTTTGCAGTGTTTCTCTCTCTTTCGCAATAGCTCAAGCGGAATTTGAGAGTGTGTAGTAATGCATCACAATTTGAGTGGAGTGGGAGAAAGACATCTCGTCGAATCCTCTCTCGAGTGAATTGGGTCCACATTGCGGATTGAACAAGTTTCATGCTTCACATTCGACCTTCAACTAGCTCAATTTCCAACACGACGACCAAGTTCAACCACTAGGACGACGAGTTTCATTGTGCTCAACCAGAGAGTTATTTTTATTTTCCGCAGACGTTACATGTTGCATGCCAAACTCAGCCGGCATGAAGAATCGCAGTCTGTACAAGTTTTAGTCCTGCACTACTCCTCGTAATCGTAATACCAAGTTACCAACCAACTGACTGACTGAAGGAAATTGCTTGGCTCACGTAAATGTGCTGAATGAAAGGCACATTATTTATTTGCTTGCTTCTTCTTGTGTGGGAATGAGAAAGAAGAAGAAACAGCACATTGGGCAGGCATACAGCACAACTGCATGACATTTCGGTCCATATTTAGACGACGACGACGTAAGAAGGACTGAAACGTACATGTCACATGCATAATATAATGCCCACACGACAGTTCAATTGACTATGCGTCCCTACATGCTCGGTTTGAAACTTTGATGCGTATCCATATTTCAGATAGGTCATTATTTACGTCCAGCATACTACACAATTGCTTTCGCATGATTCATTGACTTTTCCAGCGTCTGCCCTCATGTTTTATTATTATTCGCACTGCATAACAGTCATTTGGATGAATACTCTCCAATTTGGCATAATACACATGGAAAAAGAGCTACGGGCAGGAGAGCTTTGATGTTGAACGTGTGAAGTTTCTTTCACAAAGTTCGTTGATTCGTATCTCTCTCCACGATGTTACACGACCGTCTCGCACTGGTTGCATGTAGTCCTGTGGATTGCACCAGATACGATTCTGAACTTGACGTCCCGCGAATATGAATAGAAATAATGTCACAAAAGAAGAAAGGGAGCTCAAAGTCTCAAGGAACAGTCGTAGCTCGTAGCAGAATGTCAGGCCGACCGACCTCGTTTATGATGCCAAAGATTAAATTTTGATTTTAAATTCAGCACGAAATCTCCCTCCCACTGTGGAACAGCTTTTTTGGATGTCAAATTTTTAGAAATCTCAATGCCAAATTGCCAGACGTAATTGTACTCAAAATAGGAGTGCACAGTGTGTTCCATTCACGCTGATTTTAAAAAGCGTTCTTACATCGTAATTGTCATCATCCGTTAGTCGTAATAACGATATAAATACATGTCCTTATTTTCGAGCCAGTTCAGAGTTGGTGGTTGTGACCTTCATTTTTGAGAGTGAAACTGGAACTTTTCTCGTCGTTTTGTAACCATGCTGCATTCATGAGACAAAAACCGGAGGCAGAAATACGTGACATGACATTAACAATTTTACATACGTCTCCATCGTCTTCTTTTTGGAGACTCGTATTTCCATTCTCGTCCCACGCTGAATAACCACAATTCCCATCACGATTATGGAGCAGAGAGACAGACATCAAGTATATCGTTGCCATCATCATCCTCCTCATTGCCGTATGCTAAGCTCCCGAATAATTTGCTGTTTAGCATGTTTTTTAACTCAAATCTCTTCCCTGTAACGAATGTGTAACAAATATCGATTGCTGGCATTGGTGGGACTTTTCGAAACTGTAAAGTTACCCCATATTTCATGGAAGGAGGTTCTATTTCTTTTCCAGCAAGTCAGGAATTATGCACGGTGGGGCATAATTACGGATTGGGTGGTGGCGGTGGTCTTGTCCAAATGTCTCTCATCCTCAGTAAAGTAAGTCAAGTATTCCTAGGACAATGAGGCGGAGATAAAACAAATTGTTGCCCACATCATTATTTTATCCAAAGCGATGAAATTTCTCCGTAAGTGGAAACACAAGATGTTCCAGCAGTCAGTCATGGATAGTACTCACATATTCCCTTTTTTTGCTCATTGAGAAGGAGAAGAACGGGAGCGTTTAGTTTCCCGAAAAGCGAGACGACATGATATGTACGTACAATACGCATGCACAAATGAAAACCATTGGATGGACGGAAGTCAAAACAAGTGAAACAAAAAAGATTATAAATCGTCTTCTGGTGGTTGTTGCAGCAGCGGTTAGTTTTTAGGCTTTGAGCTGGAGCAATTACAGAAGAAAGGAAATTGTCTAGTATTCCGTTTTTAACAAGTAACTCGATCTCACTTTCTTCCTTCTCGGCTTGTCGACTTTTTCTCCCATGACCTGAAAACATCTTCTTTTACCTCATCTGCTCCCTGCTCCATATTCCACTAATTCCAGGCCGAGCATACGCAACATTATTAACGTATGGGTTCAGTATATGTAATCCTACTTTTCATATATGTATCCTAATTCCCAACACATACATATTAAGGAAAAAATCTGTCTCCGTCGTCAACGGGAGGATTTGTTGACTGCTGATAGCAACTCAAAGAAGATGAAATAGATCACTTTTCCCTTCTGTAGCATTGATACTGTAAATACCAATTACCGACGACTCGCAGCCAGCACCCAAGGCTAGCTAGAGAACAAAAGAGAGTAAAATTGGTGCACCTGACTTGTTGCCAGACTTCACAGACCATAATAAACCATGCTGCTGGATAGGAGAGAGAGCAGGCAGGCGTGTATTAAAAAAGAAATGAAGCACATTTTTTGTGATTAGTTTCTGTACACCTGTGACTCAAGAATGTTTACGATAAAATGAATCCGTCCACAACACAATGATAGTAAAATTGTGGTGTTCGTTCTTTCGTAGTACTCCGTGTGGATGGAAGCAATGTGTTTTTTGTGGATATTCCATAGCAGCCTCGTACGTATATCGTTCTTATTATCGTTACTCATGCTTATTCCTCGTACTCGAGATGCATGTATTCGAATAATGCAGGCATGCACGCAACCACAAAACAAAGGACAATACCTGCTACTACCTACCTACCTGCCCAACACCACCACCTTGAAAAGAGGTGAATCACTTAAAATTACTGGGCACAAAAACCCCCTCATTCTTTCTTCAATAAAGCATTAAAACATGTCAGAATATCATAACAACAATGAACATTAAGAGCAGGCAAAACATACTCCTCTTCTGCATCTCTAAAAAACAGAATGCCTGGTTGGAGATGCACGTTGTAGTATTATTATTATTATTATAGTAAACAATTCCATATCATGTAGGGCCGTCCATATAAAATCTATTTATTTACGTGTGTGTCGGTCTACTTAAGTAATCCCCTCTTCTCGTCGTCGTAATCCAAAGTCATGGAGGAGCAGTGTAAAATGTATGAGGACGACAAGACAGCCAGTTGAGCTGCAGCCAGCATTTAATGAAGTGAAGGAAGGCTGCATAAGTAAGTGTCCGTGAAATTATAGGGCGATGGAGATGGAATCTCTCTCCAAACGAGAAGGAGGAAGCCCAAGCACGATAATCGTTCATTCCAAAAGGACTTCAACAATGGCATCCCATAAAAACGTAGCCCGACCATTCGGACCAACACTCGCCTATAGCCAATGACATTTACATGAGTGCCCTTAGTAAACAGAAAGAAGACGAGTCAACTGATACTAGTGACGAGCAGAATAAAAGACGCATCAGCTCCACAGCAGGTGTAAGTATGCCTTAGAACTTGTTGTTCCACGTTTTCCATGCCATCCTGCCTGCCCAACTACCCTGCAAATGAAAAAAGACAGGAATTGCTCACCTGGAAAAGAATTTACGCTGCCACGTCTGCTCACACTCTGTGCAGTATCAGCAAGGAAATCTTAATGATAATGTAAATTTGACTTGGAAAAACTAAAAGCGTTCAAAACAACATCCAGCGCAGCAGCAATGGTACTTAAAAGTCATGCAGTCATGGGCTTCTACTCGCTCACTGGTCTTTGCGCTGACTAAAGTGAACCTGAAACGTGATCATCAAGTCCTAGCGCGTACATTCTCGGAAGTAAACGAATGTTGAATTCAACAATGGATGGAATAAGTGACAAAGGAAAAGTGGTTGGTTGGTTGGGATGCATATACGGGAGCACATACGTAAATATGTACCCAAGAATATAGTGAGAAGAGTGGAGAAGCAGTATACGTATTGACACGGCGATTGTTGTTGTATGTGGATAGGGAGGCAAGAAGGTGTCTAGGCGTAGTTTGGTAGTAGTAGTAAAATACCTGCGTGCCTGCAGTTCCAACGAGGATGGAAGAAAGCAAAGTAGTAAAAAATTGTTGTATAATAATCAAGCAGGTACACAAAGTGATTTCGTGTTTCACTACTTTTGCCTTCAGAGCCAAGTGTAGTACTCCAACGCACAATGCGGTATTGTGCATTATATTATTATCATTGCAGTCTATTGTTGGTTTTGTTGGGCTAGGAGAGAAAGAATGGTGTTTTTTGATGGCGTGGATGGAATGGGGGAATACGTAATGTGTAGTTGTAACCTTGCCAGAGTACGTCCACCTATACCAAGTTCCACCTAATAATAATCCCACACCTAACGCGTATCTTGCATATAATTCGAATATTGGAAATTGACGCTTTACCGTCGTAGGCAGTGTGAATTAAATATTAAATATATTACGTAAATACTTATGCGAGTCGGTCGACACTGGTGCAGTTCGGTTTTCATTTTTGTAGCAAAATGCAAATAGAAATATGTAAGCATTACAATTTAGAAATCCTCGACACTTCCATATGCATGCAAGCGAATGCCACGTTTCATGACAAAATTTGCTTCATAACGGCAAAATAATTGATTGATTGCGAAATTCCAAACTTTGTACAGTGATGAACTTTTTTCCCGTGTGTATACTTAAATACGAACCCCTGAAAATAAGATAGCATAAATTTGAAATTGTGCTCAAACGTGCATTTGAAGTATTTTAGAATACATAAAGAATGAGTTTGGTGGATATTTCATTGTGATTGCATATTGAGAAACACCTGTTGTATCACCTTTTCAATCGCTTTGTGTCTCCATCAATGGGGACACCACCACATTGAACATATAATTTAATTCTTAACCCAAGAGTAATCTGGAATACTGACAATGCTGTATTTAGTATAATAATGCATGCAGTCTGGGCTATTTATTAGTTCAACATGTGGCGTTTATTTATGTCGTCTGCTTTTTGGGCCATCATGATGTCATCCTCTTCTCGTCCATAAACTAAAATGGATTAAAGTATTAGTTCCACCTGAATCGCATCTTTTTTTTGCGAAATATCACAATTTGAGAGCTGTTCCGTGAGCTATATAAATTTAATGAACAATATGTCTGTTTGTGCATCGAACAACAATTACATTCAAAGAAGATCGCTTTTATCACGTCAAAAATAGCAGTCTGGAATTGGAAACGTGACAAAAGAAATTGTTTTCCTAAGGTAGAGCTCGAAACGGTTTAAAACATAAGGAGACAACTAGCTATTTTCCAATTATGTATGATAAATTTTGGCACACATTGGCGATTTAAATCAATTTTAACATAGATCACAATTCTTAATAAATAATATATTTATGACGGCACTCTATTTTTAACTATGTATATATTTACTACGTATGCAGTAAGCCATTTCCAGGTGCATTTTGACTACCAAGAACAAATTATAAATTAAACAATGCATTTCTGAAACGGGGTGCAAATCGTGAAACGAGACATGATTTTAAACAATTCTTTGAGCAAATACAAAAACTCTACTAAACTGCTGGTGACGATGCTGTCGAGTAAAAACAAAGATAAAAAGTGCAAGTCAACTTATTTTACGAATAATAACGAGACAAGCAAAATCAAATTTAATTCTTGTGATTCTCAGACTTCAAGGTTATGCACAAAGCACATGAGACAGCATGTACACACGATTATCGTCATTCGTGTTTTATTTTACGCTACAGATGAAAATGTGTCTCTGCTGCTTCTACTAAACCTAATTTAGTACCAAAGCACCAAGCAAAAAAGCCAGCCTCATTGTTACCTTAAACTATTTCGAGCCTCTCATGTGTAAAACTGCAAGTAATCCAATCCAGCGACTCTCTGTTAATTGTAAACCGTTCCACTGGACACAGAGATCGTCGTTGTTGGACCCACAACAAAAGTAAAATGAAATGCCAGGATGACTTTGCTGTTACGGGAAATAATGAGGAGGATGATGCGAGCGAAGATTACGCTAAGGCTGAAATGAATCCATTGCAGGCTAAAAGGACAGCTAGATTCACTGAATCCATATTTTCATTGGGGGTTATCCATGGGGTTATCCCGAAAACTCGAGCTCCTCCCTCCTCTCAATGGCACCTATTCCCCCAAAAAGGGGGGAGTTGGTCTTATTTCATCTCACAATTTTCATGTGGCGGACAAAAATACGGTTTGAATGCAGATTCGGTGAATCTGAATCTCCTTTTACAATGTAATCCGACCGACCACGTCGTAACGTATCCATGTGACGACGCAACACAACCGAACTTGAATTGCAGGATTTGAATTACTTGCATGCAGCTCAACTTATAAAATGCATTCCATTCCACCACAATGCCACGTTTTATGCAGTGTAAAATGAACAAATTTTACTTTAGTCTTCTAAAAAATTGCATGGAACGGAATTCTGAATAATAAGAGAAATCGTGCATATGCATGTCTATTTAGTACTACTCGTAAATAGTAAACCTATTTAGTTGCAGCCAATAATAGCAATACTATTGCATGGCACAGTCCATGAAATAGACAAGATATTTTACGATATTTAACTTTTTGCGAGTCTTTAAAAAACATTCATTTGACACGCAGCCCAATTGTTTAAATGATTTACTCATCCGATCAATCACCAAATACAATTAGGAGCACAAACAACTTATGTAATACGTTGTACGTATACCCATCTGCATTACTCCAGTACAGATTGGTACGAAAAGTGCACTTATTTTTACTTGCTTGAGAGCAATTTAGATTTGGTGTAATTAAAATGTTTTCTTGTGAATGAATTTACTCACGACGATTATAAATTACGGGAATAACAGAGTTGCTGTTAATGCGTACATCCATGAATGCTTGGCAGACATCCCATTAATGAATTCAAGCCTAGCAAGATGACTGAGAAGATAATTGAAGTTAATTATACAGAACTGACCGATTTCTGATTTTTTTAATTTCTCATTTACATATTTAGTGTGGAAGATAGAGAGTCAAGTAAAACATGTACAAATACAGATTATTATCATCCAGGAGTACAATTTTGCTGGTATTTTCAATTTTCAAATTTACAGATATTTTAGATTCGTATTTTTATTTGGGGTCTTGCTTTTGCTTGACAATGGTTTGGCAATTATTTACGAGCATCTAAGGAATGTCGGAAAGCACGTCTTCGGCTCCAACTTATGTACGTATGTATGTATATCTTTATTACTGTGTCTTTCCCAATTCATTGCATACATCGTACAAGTACAACAACAATGGTCTACCATTGGTGACACACTGGTCAATATACCATATATTTAACTATTCTAATATAAAAACAAGTAAAGATAAATCAGTAGGTGATCATAATCATAAAACAAAATACAATTCCAAGTGAAGAGGTCCAAAATGTAATCCAGTATAAATACAGATAAGATATATTTATATCCTTATCCCACTTCATATTGCTTAAAGTTATTGATACATAAATCGTAATTATGATTAAAACAATTGATTGTGTAAATTATTTCATTATATTGACTGCGTAAGGGATTAAGAAATTTCACTAATTTGCGCATTAATTTTCCATAATTAACAAAATTATTGCGTCTGCCCAATGCAGGGGAGAACTCTGCATTCTTTCTCATCATAAAATTAGCAAATAGTAAAAAAGAGTCTGTTAAAGAGGAATTTGGATGACAAACTTGTGATTAGTACACAAATTGTAAAAAGGGTAGGTTATCGTTATAATTGTTTTTTATCGCTTGCTCACGTTCACCATATTCGTGGGGCTACATTTATATGAATAGTACTGCACCTAGTATACGTATGTGCAGTACTGCACTGTAAAGGAGCAAATATCTATTAAAAAGTAACAAGTATGAAATGAGATCTGCAAATGGAAAATTGCAATTTTTTGCAAATTTTGTGTTTCCTTTGATTTCACACTGCATTTCATACCACACAAACAAGTCTGAAGTTTCTTGAAACTCAAAGAATCGGGTTTTGTCACACTGCGTCTGGTGCTCTCAACGACTTGTCAAACAATAAATGCTTGAATATCTTCAAAGTATGCTTTTATTTCTCTTTTGTAAAACTTGTTAACGTTGTTACGTAGCTGGCTGGTTGGCTGGCTGTCACATGTCAGCTTTTCGTCTGATCCAATCTAATCCACATCCAGCCAACCGAGTGGCAAACCATCCAGTTATGCACAAAAATATAAATCGATCTGCCCATTGCTATTTTTGTCATATTGATCATGTCCGTCGCACATTACACACAATTTATACCCTGCTTTGAACAGGTTTAAATCAAAAATGACTCAACCAGCTACTGACTGGCACAAAAAACCTTACACAAGTTTTGTTTCAAAGCTATTGGTCTGAATTAAAACCAGAGTGGCTGATGTAATGTTGACGATGCGTTAATTTTTCCAGTAATTTATTCACATTTGATTTATTACTATCAACATGGGATGCAATGGACTTCTGGCTTTTAAACTCTTATTTTTTGTGAACAGTTGCACGAGAGTAGATGCAGACAATCAGAGAAGTGCATTTCATTATAATTGACGTGTACAGTTAAGTAATAAGAGAACTGGTAGCAGAGATTCATCAGCTGCACGGACTGGAGTAAATAGGAGGTTGGAAAGTTAAAAGAAATTCATCTTATTCTCATCTCTGACGGAACGCCAAAGAAATAATTTGACTTTTGCCACAGTAGTTCCTTCCAGCTTCCAACCAACCAAATCAGTAGCTGAATCCATCCACACGAGAAGAAGTGCATACGTACATATTTCCTACAACGTATTGCTGGAAGGGCCTTCAATCAACATCTCACTGGATACCAGCTCCTCGTTTTTTATTGATTTATTAATTTATTCCTGCTTTCACAACGCGTAGGAGCGTTCTCTCTCTCTGCTGATGTGAGTGAAGATGAATAACTCCATTGATTACGGTCACGTTCCTCTCGTTTGGAAATTCGAGATGCATTTTATACTTTTTTTTTTGCTCAAGAACTCGCATTTTTAATGTGGATGGTTGGATGGAGATGATGCTTTCCTTGGTCGGCGTGCTAGTCGATGCAATGCAATGTATGAATATTAATGAAACCTTTTGGACATAATAAACATTTATTTTCTTGGTCAGGCATCCCTTCGCCATCAACACGGTTTCACCTTCCCTCAAGGCACGTAATGAAATGGAAATTAAAACAGCCTTTGTTGCCCAATGAAATATTTCCAGTTGTATTAACAAAAACAATTATTTAGGTAAATTCAATTCCACTATTTGTTTTTTATGGACTCCATTTACACTTTATGCACATGAGGAAAGATTTATGTATCGTATGAAAATTGCGAGCTATTAATTGAACGGACTTGGAGTAGTGCAGTGGGTTGGAGGCCAAAAGGTGAAAGGAGGACTGTCGGAGATGGATTGTTTATGCGCCATGAACACACGTCACAATTTCTAAAGCCGTCGGATGGATGACAAATGCACACAACAGATCGACAGTGGCAAATGCACGCGAGGTGAGCTACATAATAATATACATAGATACATAATAACTCTTGTGTGTGCACATGTCTGCAGTGGAAGGAGGAATGCAACAAGTTTTGTGATCCCAGAAATACAGAATTTATGTAACTGCACATCACAAACTCGCTCCATGTTGTCAATTTTTATGAGGTGAAACTTTTAGTGACAATTGAACGACGCTGATTCAGTTGGGAACTGGGAAAAGGAATCTAAATTCTTGGAAAATTTGATTGGAAAAAATATGGCAGGTTGATTATATAGGTCAAAGTTACTCAAACTTTTGTAAATAAATTGTAACGTGGAAGAGAAAATACTAAAAATTCGAATCAGCAGCAAAGTGGAACAGCAACGGCTATGCAACAAATGTTTCGTAATTCTCACCGTCTGTGAAAGCATATTTTTATGAATGTTTACTAATGTTCATGCCAGGACGAAATCACAGTTTAAACAATAAATAATAAAATGTAGGAATTATAATCCCCGAAAATGTCCGTGCACATACATATTAATATGTGCATACAAAATTACGTGCATACATCCAGCGTCAAGGTTTACACGTTCTAAATAAACTGCGACTAAAGTAACGTGAACTTTGGACAATCTTCACGGTGATTATCACGGCCTGTGGATTAGAAGAAAGAAAGAAATTCTGGTGGAACGAGTCGTGATCATTAATGGTAAAATTTTACGAGACTCGTACAACTTTTACTATTGCTTACACACAACAATGCTTACTTGAGCTCGTTAGTGGAATATTTCACTCTCAGCCTTCTACACATTTTTCGTCCGTAATCGAACCATGTGGTGGCTTTGGTTTCATGCATGACTGGAGGCGATCAAGATGAGTGTGTAAGAGTAAAAGTCCTGCATTTTATGAGGTACGTGATGTTATGAAAATTGAAACCAAGGAATTACCATCGTCATTATTATTATGCTAATGAAGAAACTGCAACTGTTCATGAATTCCTCCCCACGATTACTTAACTCTGAAAATCTAACGAAAAGGTAACGCTCTACTCTGCAGTGATAACGCGTCAAGTAGTCTTGGTCGTCGTCGTTATGCCGGCCGGTGCACTCCTCTGATTGTCGGTTCTTGTGCCCCCGTCTAATTAAATTGTCTCATTACTATTATTCATTCACATTAACTAAATGTGTTTATGACTCTAAATCAGTTCAACATTGCTTTTTTTTACAATTTACTGCATGGGCTGCCTGGCAAGTAACCTTCGGAGCACTGGAGAAAAATACTCTGCATGTTGAAAAACACGCCGTGTAGAAGGATTTAATTAGCCCTTTATCGTTATTGCATTAACGTAAAGGCCTCTACTTACGTAGTTATGTGAATGTTTTGAAGGTTGACTTCAAAAAGGTTGGGTTTATGATAATTCAACAAAAAACAGCACCAAGCCTCTTCAATTAAGCCTAATCGTTTGGCAGCAATTTACATAAGCACTTATCTGCATACACATTATGTCGCATGAAGGCCCTCTTGATTTAATTGTTTATTTGGTTCAAGCGAAATGTGCGAGAATAATGAAAAATGTTAAATGTTCACGAAATTGAGGTGATCATGGAGCTATGCGGAAAAATATTTTCCATGCATTTCTTATTTTGTGTGTATGTATGGCAAAATGAGGGTTAAGGGAGTTTGATCTCGAGAACAATGTACAATCACCACGCAGCCACAGACAAGTGGAACAAATCCATTTAACTGTTTCAACTTTTACTTTGGTTTACAATCCTTGTAAGGTAAATTGTAGGTTCTTAAAAACTTGGGCGGGCAGTTGTTCCAAATACCCTGCATCATCGTATTTCATCCCGAAGGTAGGAAAGTATTGTCATTATGAATGCTACCTGAAATTTGGAACCAGCTGCCCGTCTACCTTAATAAAATTACTTTAATGGGCTCAACAAAGTACGGGAGGAGGTGCTAAGTGGAGTTGCCAGTTCTTAGAATTTCTTTCAGATTTTGAAACTGAGAACTGAACAAGGACATCAACAATGAACTCAAAAACATGGAGTGAACTGGCTCGTTGTTGCCATTTCTGTGTAATTTTGATAAATGGGTAGTGGTATTTAGATAGTGAACTCTATTATTGTTTTTCATGAGAATATTGAATATTGACTCACTTTTTGGTCATCTCCCTTTTGTTCACAACTCGAATTATTTGCAATTTTTTTTAGATCACCATTTAAAACATAATTTTTTATAAAAAGTTAAATTTTCCAATCGTCTTTATGATTTTGATGACGGTTTTAATACGGCACACAATTTCCCTTTCATGTGTAACATTTCAGTAGTGCTAAAACGTTGTGCGACCACTGAGGATGAGTCGAGCGTATAACGATTATAATCAACTTCCATTACCGACTCTGTAGATCTTGTATACTTTGCGTGCCATTATATTCCGTATTTCCATCTAAAATTGTCCATTGTTGCAAGCGATTGCGGACACCAAAGCCCACAGTGCTATCCATTAGCTTGCCGCAAAGAAGATTATACAATATGATCGATATCTCTAAAAATAGCTGTTTGATCTTCTGCTCTGTGAACAGGTTCCCTATTCCCCTCCAACGACGACGACGCCACAATGCACTCTCAATTTCTCTGCTGGATTGTATTCCGCAACCGAGACTTCAGGTGTCCTTGTGTCGTCACAAAACGATTCAACTCTCCAGTGTTGCATCATTATTTTTAGTCACATGCATCCATGTAGTTTCGTACGTATATGAAGTCAGTCGTCATTTAAATTCACCCGAGAACGATTACATTTAGGCATCCAACCCGTTACAAGGCACACAAATAGACTAACTACTTGTGTATTTACCATCCAATTTACGAAATTATTACTGCATTCATCCCGTCGTGGATGTTGTCATATTCTAGTAACCTTAATGGATGAAAGAACGAAGACCTTGGCTCATAAAAAATGCTCCGAAACGTCGTCAAGTTGCAAGTCACAGGGTTTAAAGTGAAATGAAGGCTGCCGTTGTGAACAACAAGTGTTAGTTAAGAAAATAACCTGCCAAAAACCATTACTGTGGTTGCGATCAACTGTGAAGGCGAGAGGAAAGAGTCGCCCATATCCACATTGAAGAAGAAGAAGAAGAGTGAAAGATGGACGACCTTTTGTGATGAGTGAAGCCACAAAATATTTTGTCGAGATCTTGACTCGACTCTTGTCGAGCTTACTCCTTGGAGGAGTAGGAGGGGATTCACGTACATTGTAATTTGTAATAGGTTGTTGATGGCAGCGTAGAATTCTTTGCCTTTTGTGGACAAGAAGGCCTGAATGGGACCATATAATGCGGGGACACTCGGGCACTCTCTCTGCTGCGAGTAAGATGATCTCTCCCCATTGTGAGGGACAGCGACTTTCTTTGAGGGACGGTCGCGGACGAGGGTGTCTGGCGCCAGAGAGACTCGAGTAAGACAAAAAGATTGAAACTCGGTCAAAGGCGTCCTTCATTTATAACTTTACACTCAATCGACTCGGTCACTAGCTACGCGAAGGAAGGGCAAATCCCACTCAAAGTATGGATCGTAATAAATAGTAGCTAGGCAGGCAGGGACTAGAGGACTTTTGGTTGTTGCAAGTGGTAGTGATCGTGCCCTTTTCTAGCAACGAGACCGCTATATTGATTGCTACCAGCAAACTGAGTGCTTATTAATAAATACGCACTCATGCTCATTATTACGGGACTCTGCTTGATCCTTTTCCTTCCCTCGTCTTGGAAAGGTCCCTGGGAACGTATTTTGGGGAAAATGCATATGCATTAATTGATGAGATACGTGCATGCCTTTTGTGCATTACGATGTCGAATATATAAATATGTGAGAAGATGAGAAGCTCTCTAAGCTGCTCCAAATCTCCAACCAAATGTGATGCAGCTGTGATGATGATCATGCATGATACGAACTCACATTTTTGTTCAGAATCCCAGAATTTCAAACAGACTGATGCGATGGGTGTGGGAGAAATGCAACGTGAAAGATGTCTGGTTGGATGATCGTGGAGAAGGGTGAGAACATCACCCTTGAACCCTTTCATTCTTTGTCTGCCTTATTTTACTCTCGTAAGTACGAGTCATACATGCATTCCTCGCTCCAAGGAATCCGTTCCTTGGGCGTAGTAGTAAAACGTAGTGTGTGTAGTAGCGTAAATTTCAAGCACTATCTTCACCCAGCCGGCAGAAGAGATTATTTTCCTTAAATGATTATTTTCCTTCCACTGCCCTCCGAGAACTTTGACACCACCCCGACGACGAGTGGACCCAGGCACAACCTGCCTCAAATGTGTAAATCCTCTCCCCACTGACCACTGATTAGTTGTTGTTTCAAGCTAAAACAGGAATATATACACATCGTTCTGCTGGTTGTCTCACATTCAGCAACTGCCCCACCGTCAACCGTATGTACTCTGAATGGATCGAGTTATTTTAAAATTAACAAGTGAACCAGCAAGTGTTTATAATTTCAGAGTGTGGGAGCCTCTGCTTCAATGCCTTGGTTATACATGTGCAATGGCTTCGTTCGTTAACGCTTTGTTTGGGTTAACTCCCAGCAATAATAAATGAGAGAGGAAGGCCTTTTACTTTTCTGCTTTTAACTCTCCTGTTTTACTTCAACTTGTACTTTCCTCTTGTCGGCTTTCAAAACATGAAAGAATGCTGCAACGACGACTGAAAGTTGTAAATGGGCTTCGATACCACCGTACGAAGCAGTCTTCATATACAGAAATATACACGGATGCAGTTTACATGTTGCCAATAAATGACCCTCATTCTTGCTTGGGCTGGCCGTCCATAACACACCATTGTTTGCATTGTTAAACCCTATTATTGACTGACTACTTGTAGTAAGACTGATGGACGATTGGAGTCCCAAAGTTTGTAAAACCCAGCAGAATCCATTGGTCACTGCATTATGTGCATTTCACGGGGTACATAAAGTGCATAACCTTGTCATTCTTGGACAGAGGAGTAAATTTGTCTCCTATTGAAACGGGATGCAAGTGGATTTATATGGCCCAAGGCCTCTCTTGTCAAAAGTCAAGTTGGTGTAATTGGTAGTCTTTCTTGCGTGATATTTAGAAAATTAGGAAGCACTTGGCACCCGCAGCCGACCACGGTAAATTAAATACTGTGCAAATGCATCAATGTATAATGAAGCCACGTAGGTAGGGTTGGGACTGTCCGCATTATATTTGCATGCCGAATCCTACCTGAACATCTAAATCAATACGCGTGTGTTAATATTTGCCTAGAAAACGTTCGAATCAGCAATACACTGCGCCATTTCTTTAATTGTCATGTCTCGCCACCACAAAGGTCGTACATAAATGCATTGGTGAAATGCGATAGATTTACTGTTTCGATGCAAAAGCAAACTAAACCGAACAAAATAATCAATTTTGAGACATTGAGCAAAAGGTCGAGAGAATATTGCGAGTGGAAATGAAATCCTCGTTGACAACAACTACCTGACCTAGGCAATTAAAATGTGGTTACAGAGTCCTGGGGTCTCCCATTGAAATTACTTTACAGCAGCAGTGGGCGAACACGTAAGATAAGTTGTTGACTTGCCCACTATCGCAGAATGACGAGTAGGTAATAACATGTCAAAAGTAGTCTTCAACTATTCCTAGCCTGAGCACCACAGGAGGAAAGCTATTGATTTACTAAAA